AAGGAAGTGCCAGAGAAATCGAGACCGCCTGGCAGCGTTAACTGGGCCTCCGTTGCTATGGCATAGTCGACTTCAGATAGGGGATGAAAAAATTCTTGGCTACATGACCGAATAAGATACTCACCTTGTCCATGTAGCGCTTCAGAGAGAGGCGATGCTTCTTGTCCGGCACTATCGGAGAGCTGAGGAAGATCTCCTCGGTGAGTCTCAACTCTGCGCCACTGGTCTTATCGGTCACCACGTAAGTGTAGTAGAGACAAGAATTCTGTAGAGGTGGGGAGAGGACGGCAGATAAAAAGAAGTTAAAGCAAAAATACCGCAGCTTAGCGAGAGCGTGTGAGGCAAGGTATATTCTCAGAATCGAGCGTGGAAGAGGCCTGAAAAACCAATATTCGAATAAATATTATTATTAGAAATACTGATTAATACAATTAGTAGTAGTAGTAATAATAATAATAATTTTATTATTAAAATAATTATTATTATTTAAGATAATCTCTCTACAAACACGACATATTAAGACAAGACTTGGCAGTAGCCTCTGCTTAATGTAGGATGAGGGGTACCTTATCCATTAAATAAGCCTACATAACCGAGTTACAGTGGCCATATCTTCGCTTCCTTTATAATAACTCTTACTCATTAAGACCTCTAAGGCCGGTGTCGCTCTGTCTTGAACCGAAGCAACTCTTTTTCTTCAATGAAATCATCTTTGTCAATTGGTCGTGATGTTAGAGTGCTCTCGCATGACTAATTCATCGACGGCTTTGTAAGATCGTTTGAGCCTCCACCGCCATCAAAGACTACGGAAAAAGACTACTTTCAAAAGTGAAGAAGAGAACATAGCGTTTCCTTTAAATAAATTCTCGCCCTTAAAACTGAATATATATTTATCATCATCAACCTCACCATTTGTGCCATCGTCGTTACCATCCTCAGCATTATTATTATTACTCGTATTATCATTACTGTTATTATTAATATTATTATTATTTCTGTTAGTATTGCTAGTAGTAGTTGTTATTGCTTCTGTTGTTGTTGTATTGAGAATACTCTCTCCTAAAACACGATAGATTAGGAATAGGCGTGGTAGTACGTCTCGGCTTCGTATTGGACCAAATAACCCAGTTACAGTGAGAATATCCTAACTGCCTTGAAAAAGATTT